GGCATGTTTCTTCAGAGAAATTAAATTTAATGGGATTTTGCCCCAAGTATAATACTACACTGGGTCATGAATAAGGAGTAGAAAGATTCACATTAGACAAAAGTATACTGGAATGAAGCATTAATGGGGAAGCTCTCTCTGTAAATAAAAGAATTCAGCCTGTGATTGATACTTTTGCAGGCTAATCGGAAAACAAAAGTAAAGAAAATGTATATTAATTAAGATAGCATTATTTTTTAAAAGCTTATGAATTTCCAAGTTTACAGAAACATAATTAAGCAAAGCAACCTGGTTGGAGGACTGAATGTTGTGCTTTCCAAAAGGAAAACTCTTCTTGCTTTTTTTGGATGTATCTTTGGCCACTTCCACAGAGCTGTATAAAATCCACATTGAACTGGATTATATGGCAGTGTGGACTCCAATATCCCAGTTCAAAGCAGATATTGTGGATTATCTGCCTTGATATTCTGGTTTATATTACTGCGTAGAAGTTTACGTTCTCAAGGAACCCTTCCCCACAGCCATATAACCCAGTATACCAAGGCAGATAAATTATCTGTACAAATTATCTATTTGTTTAGACCAGGCGTCCTCAAACTTTTTAAACAGAGACCCAGGTCACAGTCCCTCAAACTGTTGGAGGGCCAGATTATAATTTGAAAAAAAAGCATGAATGAATTCCTATGCACAATGTACATATCTTATTTGTAGTGCAAAAACACTTTAAAACAATATAATAATTAAAATGAAGAACGATTTTAACAAATATAAACTTATTAGTATTTCAAAGGGAAGTGTGGGCCTACTTTTGGCTGATGAGATAGGATTGATGTTGTTGTGTGCTTTCAAGTCGTTTCAGACTTAGGATGACCCTGAGCGAGGGCCGGGTAAATGACCTTGGAGGGCCGCATCCGGCCCTCGGGCCTTAGTTTGAGGACCCCTGGTTTAGATCAACTATACACAAAACATACATGAGTGTTGTGTTTAGACTTTGGTCCCATCTCCATGATGTCTCATTATGCACTGTTTTGCTGTTTTATATTGCTTGTATTGTTATTGTTATTGCTGTATTGTTGTATTTTGGGCTTGGCCTCATGTATGCCGCACTGAGTCCCTTGGGGAGATGGTAGCGGGGTATAAATAAAGTGTTGTTATTATTATTATTATTATTATTATTATTATTATTATTACATACTAATACGGGTATTCGGAAATCTGGGGGTGGAGATTCAAAACAATTCTGGTCCCAGGTATTTCATATAATGGATACTCAACCTGTACATCCGTTCCTAAAAGCAATATTTTGGTCCGCTGCTTGTGTACAAGCTTGTCCCAAGGGTTCAGTCTGGAAAATGATAATACAACCTGACATACATCAGTTGGAATTGTCCCTCCAGGAAAATGGCTGGCATGGTTGTGGGCACACTCACTTGCAGGAACAAATGACCTGGAGCTAGGTTGTTCCAGAACGTGCTACCTTATTGCCAGCGGTCTCTATTTGCTTTCCACAGTTCCCATATCTCCTGCCAATGACAACTATGATTAATAATGTATATGTGAATAAACCTGGGTACTGGGCAGAGTGGATCTACAAGCCACTCTAAACACCTTCGCAGAAGAATACGAGAAGCTCAGCCTGTCATTGAACATTGAGAAAACTAAAGTGCTGTTCCAGCAATCACCAGCCAATCCCTTTCCAATGCCAGCGATACAGCTTAATGGTGTAACATTAGAAAATGTTGACCATTTCCCTTACGTTGGCAGCCACCTCTCCACCTGTATTTCGGCATCGACACCGAAATACAACACCGCCTGAGCTCTGCAAGTGCAGCATTTTCCGAATGAAGCAGAGAGTGTTTGAGGACCGGGACATCCGTAGGATACCAAGGTGCTTGTTTATAAAGCTATTGTCCTCCCAACCCTGCTATATGCCTGCGAGACATGGACTGTCTACAGATGTCACATGCAACTCCTGGAACGATTCCATCAGCGCTGCCTCCGGAAAATCCTGCAAATCTCTTGGGAAGACAGATGGATAAACGTCAGCGTGCTGGAAGAAGCAAAGACCACCAGCATTGAAGCGATGGTCCTCCGCCATCAACTCCGCTGGACCAGCCACGTTGTCCAGATGCCCGACCACCTTCTCCCAAAGCAGTTGCTCTACTCCGAACTCAAGAACGGAAAACGGAATGTTGGTGGACAGGAAAAGAGATTAAAGATGGGCTCAAAGCCAACCTTAAAAACTCTGGCATAGACACTGAGAACTGGGAAGCCCTGGCCCTTGAGCGCTCCAGCTGGAGGTCAGCTGTGACCGGCAGTGCTGCAGAATTTGAAGAGGCACAAATGGAGGGCGAAAGAGAAATGTGCCAAGAGGAAGGCGCGTCAAGCTAACCACAACCGAGACCGCCTTCCACCTGGAAACCAATGCCCTCACAGTGGGAGAAGATGCAGATCAAGAATAGGGTTCCACAGTCACCTACGGACCCACCAGAACTCTGATCCTGGAAGACTATCCTACTCGGCCAACGAGGGATTGCCTAACAACACTGGGAAGGGGATAGGTCCAAGGCACAGCTGATGTTGTTCCACAGCAATCCCTTTAAATCCTTGAAACCTTGCCGGTTTGGTCTTTCCATAAGCAGCTTTACTTGGGGCTTTATCAGAACTCCAGATAAAGTCACAGAAAACATCCAAACGAACACAATGTTTGACAAAGCATTGCGTTCTTTTGCCGGGCAGCAAAAGAGGCACTAAAAAAGTGACCTCCGAAAGAAAGTATTCATTGAGCTAGTTAGACATTAGTCACAACCCCAAACAAAGTGAACGTCTTTGTGACTCCAGCCCTTGATGTGAAGCAATCTGTCATTGCTTAATCCAGGAAGAATTTACAGAGTAAAAGAGTGCTCCAGAGAGTTCTGTGTGTTGGTGGTGGATGATCAGTGTCACTTTTTAAATTGCAGCAATCAATAAAAGGCTACCAAGTGTCACAAACTGAGTTGACTGTCTTATTATTCCTCCTACCTTTCATGCAATGTGTCAATTTGTTTTCCATAAGGCCAGATCCCCATCATTCATTTAACCAGTTGTATGTCATACGTTTTAGAGCCTTTCCAATGCAAAAACCAAGCCCCCGGTGGCGCAGTGGGTTAAACCCCCGTGCCGGCAGGACTGAAGACCAACAGGTCGCAGGTTCAAATCCGGGGAGAGGCAGATGAGCTCCCTCTATCAGCTCCAGCTCCTCATGCGGGGACATGAGAGAAGCCTCCCACAAGGATGATAAAACATCAAATCATCCAGGCGTCCCCTGGGCAACGTCCTTGCAGACGGCCAATTCTCTCACACCAGAAGCGACTTGCAGTTTCTCAAGTTGCTCCTGACACGACAAAAAAAAAATGCAAAAACCACTAGTAATCTTGACCTATTGATTTTTGATGTGAAAACCTTGCTTTTTTCATTCAAGAAGATGTGTAGGAGAGCTAGAGTCAAGCAAGATTTTACTTTTTCTCCTTATCTTGGAAATGCCATTGAATACAGGCAGCCCTTGAGTTACAAACATCCAACTTACAAATGATTCCTAGTTATGAACAGGGGTGAAACAACAGGAAGTGAGATGAGTCGCCTTCGGGCTTGAGATACAGCGGTATATAAGCAAAGTAAATAAATAAATAAATAATAAATAAATCTACCTTTAGGAAGAGAAATTCACTCCTGGGAAATTTATTACCATGTGGAATTTATCACCAAGAGAGAAAAACAAACATTGCAGGGATGTTAACCCTTCCCCTATCCAAACATGCATGTGTGTGTATACATATGTGTGTGTGTATATACTGTATATGTATACATATACGAGGGTTGAATGAAAAGTAATGCCTTCACCTTCGTTACTTGTGTTTGGATGGGAATATTTTAATAAATCAAACGTAGAATGTGCTCTTTAACTTGCTTGAAATTTCTCTCTTAGTGATATGACGATCGTCCTGAATCAATCTGTCAACCTTTTGCTTGTGAAACTCAATGGTTGCTGTCACAGGACGTCCACCTCTTTGTTTGTCACACAAGTCAGATGTTCCCACCTCAACATCTTTAAACTTACTCGCCCAATGACACACAGTACTCACATCAACACAATCACCATAAACAGCTTGCATTTTCTGGTGAATCTCCTTAGGGGTGATACCTTCTGCTATCAAGAGTTCAATGACTGCACGTTGCTTAAGTTGCATTGACCGACTGTCTGTGCAGCATTTCATACTTTGCACTTTAACAACACAACTGTTCAATGCTAAGGCTTCCTGCCAAAATGGAACTGTAGAGGAGAGTCTACTGAACAAGTCAGTACCTGCCACATACCAGTACTGCCATGTGTTGAGGAGTTACGAAGGTGGAGGCATTACTTTTCATTCAACCCTCGTGTGTGTGTGTGTGTGTGTGTGTGTGTGGCTGGAATTACACTTTAAAATGTACCTGTTCTAACTTATGAACAAATTCAACTCAAAAACAAACCTGTTTTTGTTTGTAACTTGGGGACTTCCTGTACTTGATTAAAAACAGGTAAGTAACAGGACATGACCTTTCTGCAATAGGATATCTCTCACAGCTGTCTCTGTGTGTGCATGCATGCACACTTGTGTATATATAGTGCCATCTGCTTTCATTTTGATGGACTATAGTACTATATGTGTATTGATTCATGCATGTGATCTTTATGCAAGGATGAGATTCAGTTTTGTGATCTATTATTCCATTTGATTTTCCATCCAGTTTTGTGGATTTGCAGTCTTAAACACTGTGGTGGGGGCCAACCATCCCGAATAGATTACTGCAACACACTCTAAGTGGGGTTGCCTTTGAATACTGTTTGGAAGCTTCACATGGTCCAACGGGCCTTATTACTTTTTCCTCTGGATCAGGGTCCATTTGCAAACGCTGTAATTTGTGAGGATCCTGGGCCTAAATACTGCACTAATAAAATGATCTGACATCTTCTTATCCTGCAGATGGCCTCAGCAAACGATACCCGGCAAGCGCCCAAGGATGCTGCTGACCAGAACTTTGACTATATGTTCAAGCTGCTAATCATCGGCAACAGCAGTGTGGGCAAGACTTCGTTCCTCTTCCGGTATGCGGATGACTCCTTCACGTCAGCCTTTGTTAGCACTGTGGGCATCGACTTCAAGGTCAAGACGGTCTACAGGAATGAGAAAAGAGTCAAGCTGCAGATTTGGGTAAGAAAGGCTTGAAGTTGATAATCCACAGCTAGGGAAGGGAGATACAATCATTTGATTTGCGTTTTGATAGGAACTTCCACGATTTGCACAGCCCTTTACGTGGTTTTGGACTCCCTATTGCTGAATATCATAGCCAGCTTAGCCAGTGATGAGTTACAATCCAATCAACATCTGGGGGACCCCACATTCTTAGGGAATGATATATGCAGTAGCTAGATCCTCAAAACTCCCCTTGAAAATCTTGCCTCTATTTAAAAATATTGTTACCCTTATGGGTCCAAGATGTAAACTGCTTACTTTGCATTCTTGCATCTAACGTTTTGTTGTGTTCTTTTGATTCGCTCTGCCAATGGAGGATCTTCAAAGAGCACCCTAGACTGATCTCTGCTCTGTCTCAATTTAGTTCTTCTGGTATCCAAATCAAGGTCCTGTTGGATATATAGGTGAACATGACCAGAGTATTTGAAGCATTGCTGGAGGAGCAGCATATAGGGAGTAGACAACCCTGTATGCTGCTATTGAAAGTCTGGACTATGTATTTATATGAGAGAAAGTGACAAAGAAGGGTGAGGCTATATGATAGTGTTTGGGGTGGAGGAGATGCTCCAGGCTATGTGTAATACCATTATACAGCCCTAGCCCACTCCCATGCATGACCGTTGTGAATGAAAATCCAGGTACGCTACTTCCACGGCAATTCCCTGGGTAGATGGGGGAACGCTGTGGATGTAGCGTACCTGGATTTCAGTAAGGCCTTCGACAAGGTCACCCAGTACCTTCTGGCAAACAAACTAGTCCAGTGTGGGCTAGGCAAAACTACGGTGAGGTGGATCTGTAATTGGTTAAGTGGACGAACCCAGAGGGTGATTCTCCCCAATGCTTCCTCTTCATCCTGGAAAGAAGTGACGAGCGGAGTGCCGCAGGGTTCTGTCCTGGGCCCGGTCCTGTTCAACATCTTTATTAATGACTTAGATGAAGGGTTAGAAGACATGATCATCAACTTTGCAGACAACACCAAATTGGGAAGGATAGCCAATACTCCAGAGGACAGGAGCAGGATTCAAAACGATCCTAACAGATTAAAGAGATGGGCCAAAACTAACAAAATGAAGTTCAATAGCGACAAATGCAAGATATTCCACTTAGGCAGAAAAAACAAAATGCAAAGATACAGAAAGGGGGACAAGTGGCTCGAGAGCAGTATGTGTGAAAAAGACCTTGGGGTCCTCGTGGACAAGTTAAACATGAGCCACCAATGAGCGGACAAATGTCAGCTGCTGGAAGAAGCAAAGACCACCAGCATTGAAGCGATGGTCCTCCACCATCAACTCCGCTGGACCGGCCACGTTGTCCGGATGCCCGACCACCGTCTCCCAAAGCAGTTGCTCTACTCCGAACTCAATAATGGAAAACGGAATGTTGGTGGACAGGAAAAGAGATTTAAAGATGGGCTCAAAGCCAACCTTAAAAACTCTGGCATAGACACTGAGAACTGGGAAGCCCTGGCCCTTGAGTGCTCCAGCTGGAGGTCAGTTGTGACCAGCAGTGCAGTGGAGTTTGAAGAGGCACGAATAGAGGGCGAAAGAGAGAAACGTGCCAAGAGGAAGGCGTGTCAAGCCAACCCCGACCGGGACCGCCTTCTACCTGGAAACCAATGCCCTCACTGCGGGAGAAGATGCAGGTCAAGAATTGGGCTCCACAGTCACCTACGGACCCACCGACAGAACACAGACCTTGGAGGACCATCATCCTCGGACTACGAGGGATCGCCTAGCATAGTGTCTACATCTAGGGAAGTAATGCGACCCCTCTATTCTGCCTTGGTTAGACCACACCTGGAATATTGTGTCCAATTCTGGGCACCACAATTGAAGAGAAATATTGACAAGCTGGAATGTGTCCAGAGTGGGATTAACAGAACTCAAAAACCACTGGACAATTGACACCAAATTTGGACACAAGACACCTAACAACCCAATGTATGTCCTTCACTCAAAAAATGATTTTGTCATTTGGGAGTTGTAGTTGCTGGGATTTATAGTTCACCTACAATCAAAGAGCATTCTGAACCCCACCAACAATGGAATTGAACCAAACTTGGCACACAGAACTCCCATGACCAACAGCAAATACTGGAAGGTTTTGGTGGGCAGTGTCCTTTGGTTTGGAGTAATCGTTCATCTACATCCAGAGATCACTGTGGACTTAAACAATGATGGATCTGGACCAAACTCTACACCAAGACTCAATATGCCCAAATCTGAACACTGGTGGGGTTTGGGGAAAATAGAATCTTGACATTTGGGAGTTGTAGTTGCTGGGATTTATAGTTCACCTACAATCACAGAGCATTCTGAATCCCATCGATAGAAATGGGCCAAACCTCCCACACAAAACCCCCATGTGGGCCACAGCAATGCGTGGCAAGGGACGGCTAGTATAGTATATTTCTAAGGTTACGTTTAGTTGTCCTGGCTCCCATCCCATTCTCTTTGAAGGCGTATCTTTGTTGCTTGTATAAATGGAAATTAGGTTTTATCTTTTGGTTTATGCTATTTTGTATTTCTATACGGCATTGAATGTTTGCCTCCCTATATGTTGTAAGCCACCCTGAGTCATAGAATCATAGAATCAAAGAGTTGGAAGAGACCTCATGGGCCATCCAGTCCAACCCCCTGCCAAGAAGCAGGAATATTGCATTCAAATCACCCCTGACAGATGGTCATCCAGCCTCTGTTTAAAAGCTTCCAAAGAAGGAGCCTCCACCACACTCCGGGGGTTCCACAGCTGAACGGCTCTCACAATCAGGAAGTTCTTCCTCATGTTCAGATGGAATCTCCTTTCTTGTAGTTTGAAGCCATTGTTTCGTGTCCTAGTCTCCAAGGAAGCAGAAAACAAGCTTGCTCCCTCCTCCCTGTGGCTTCCTCTCACATATTTATACATGGCTATCATGTCTCCTCTCAGCCTTCTCTTCTTCAGGCTAAACATGCCCAGCTCCTTAAGCCACTCTTCATAGGGCTTGTTCTCCAGACCCTTGATCATTTTAGTCGCCACTGAGGAGAAAGGACGGGATAGAAATAAAGTCTCATTCATTAAATCATACACTGAACAATGAATGCAGTTCAACACTGTTTCAACTGCTGTGACTCAATGCTGTAGAATCCAGGGATTTGTAGTTTTGCGAGACACCAGCACTCTTTGGCAGTGAAGGTTGAAGACACATAACTCCCATAACATTGAGCCATAGCAGTTAAAGTGGTGTTAAGCTGCAGTAATTCTACAGTGTAAATGCACACTGAACCCTTCATTCCCTTGTCAAAGCAAAGTCTTGGCTGGTGAGGTTTCCCACCTATAACTCACCTCTCTTTGTTCCCTTTTAAGCTCCCTATCAAGCGTTCCATCTCTTTAAATTTTAATCAGAGCCAAATGTCAGCCCATACACACTTCAGGAGTCCCACCCACTGCCTGCTATCAGCATGGAAGGTGACATATGTCAGAGACCTGCAGAGCAAGCACTGGTTTCCATCGTAACCGCAGGCCAGGGGAGCCGGTGTCCAGGGGAACCAGGAGTGCTTGGGCCTCCCATGCAAGGAGGATGAGGATGAGCTGTCATTTCCAGAGTTCATTTCTGAACCTGGCCTTATCCCTTCATCTGTATCTCCCCGATCCCTTTGCTGAGCTGTTATGACTGTAACACCCTTTATTATGTGAGCGATGTTCTCCATTCTGGGATTGCTCCAAAATTATATAAATGAAGATAGATGGGGAATATGGTCTTTTGATGTTTATTTATTTATTTACTGTCCTTGTATACCGCCGTTTCTCAGCCTAATTGGCGACTCAACGCGGTTTACAACAAAATATACAGTGTATTCCTGAGCTCATGAATAGGTTTAGAAAGGCATATGTATGAAGTTGGCTCAATATAGTTATTTATTTATTCATTTATTCTCACCCCGCAGGGGACTCAGGGCGGATTACAATGTACATATACATGGCAAACATTCAGTGCCATAGTCACACAACATATATAGACAGACACAGAAGCAATTTAACATTCCAGCTTTTCTTGAGGGTATTCTGGCTACCAGGGGAGCTATCCCTTCACCGACCATTTGTGACACTGATGAAGTACTTCCTCATTCTTTGCATGCTTGCTGGAGATTTTTATGGCTTTGTAAATTAGTTAAATTTGCCTCCCCACATAAGCGGTACCTAAATTTCCTACTTGACAGATGAAACTGTCTTTCAGGCTCCAAAGGTCAACAGCAAGCTACACAAAATTGGTCAGAAGCTCACTCCGACCCAGGTTGGCTTTGAACTCATGACCTTTCGGTCAGTAATGATATTAATGCCTTCCCAGAATAGGAAACTCCTAGCATCATGTCCCAATTGCACTTTACTAGAGATTTAAGATTGTCTGCACGTATCTCCAAAAACCTATCCATCTCACCTGTCATGTTCAGCATTTTAAAATTTTAATCATTACATTTGGCCCGGCCTTAGTTTTAAATGCGTCATCGTTATTGTCTAATGTTTATTGCTATCGTTTTAATGTTTATTGCTTGTTTTTTGAGTTTATTTATTGTTGTATTTGTTATGTTGTTGTTTTATTTATGTATTTGGCCTCGGCCTCTTGTAAGCCGCACCGAGTCCTTCGGGAGATGTTAGCGGAGTATAAATAAAGGATTATTATTATTATTATTATTATTATTATTAATGCAGTTGACTCCCAGCCAGCTGCGCCACAGTCCCGGTGCAATATATATTGCACCTGCAAGCCATAGAACAATTTGGCATTTTCATGGTCGTCTTAATCATCACCATCACCATAATCATCTCTGTGGTTTCTATTGCGCCATCAAATATACACAATGCTTCACACTGAAATTGACCTTGCCAAAGCCATACAATTTGTATAACCTGTCAACATGAAAAGGAAAATATGTCAGTTTCACTTTTCCCACATTCAGATTTTTTAAAAACATCGTTTCACTTTCTCTCTAATTTGCTTTGTTTATGTGTTTATTTGTTTGGGTTTTTTTAAACTTTCAGGTCTGTTTTGCCCTAGAAATGAAGTTTGCCAATTTGGTGATTTCTTAAATATTTTTTTTGATAAGCATAGTATCTTGGTTTCGGATGAATCTTTATCATACATTTTATTTATTTATTTATTTGACTTGTATACTGCTACTCCCAATTTGGCTCGGAGCAGTTTACAGAAACAGATTAAAACAATACAATTAGCTTTAAAAATAACCATAACAATAACAATAGGCAGCGAGGACAGACATAGCCCGGGTTGTTCACCCATAAAAGCTTGCCGGAAAAGAAAAGCTTTACAGGTTTTCCGAAAAGCAAGTAGGTCTCGGATGGTTCGAGTTTCAACCGGCAAGGCATTCCATAAATAAGGGGCTACGATCGAGAAGGCTCTCTGCCTAGTAGATGACAAATGATAAGTCCGGATGTTAGGGACTGCAAGCAGATTTTGGTCTTCAGACCGGAGTAATCTCTGGGGTTGGTAGGGGGATAAGCGGACCCTCAGGTATGCTGGCCCCAGAATTCTCAAGATTTTCCATTTCAGATATTAATTTGCAGTTTTTGGGTTAAAATTGAAAATAGTTTTAAAAACGTTTTATTTTCTAAAAAGGAACTAAAATAAAATTCTCATCTACCTCTTTTGGTCAGAAAGAGAAGCAGGACTCCATTTGGGTTAGCATGGTTTTCACTGAGAAGTGAAGTCTTGGAACCAGACTTAGCTATAATTAGAGAAAGAAGATGTAGAGCTAGAGTCTAAGTAACTCTTTACTGTGATTTGGAGCCCCAGTGGTGCAGTGGGTTAAACCCCTGTGCTGGCAGGACTGAAGACCGACAGATTGCAGGTTTGAATCCGGGGAGAGCGTGGATGAGCTCCCTCTATCAGCTCCAGCTCCTTATGCGGGGACATGAGAAAACCTCCCACAAGGATGATGAAACATCAAAACATCCTGGCGTCCCCTGGGCAACGTCCTTGCAAAAGGCCAATTCTCTCACACCAGAAGCGACTTGCAGTTTCTCAAGTCACTCCTGACACAACAAAAAACAAACAAACTGTGATTTGGCAGAGCAGTTACACATCTTTACAGTATATTACTCCAAGATGACTTTGAATGAAATGCTGTCTCTCTCTTTCTTTCTAAGGACACAGCTGGCCAAGAACGATATCGGACTATAACAACGGCATATTACAGGGGAGCAATGGGCTTCTTACTCATGTATGATATTTCCAATCAGGAGTCCTTCAGTGCTGTACAGGACTGGTAAGAGATGCCATATAAAACCCTTAAAAGACTTTGGTATTATGAATTTTCATTTGCCGTGGTGGTCATTTCCAAATAGTGTATCTGTAGAGCAGAATTTGGGATGTACCCAAATGGTGTGGGTGAAATGCCTCATCTGTAAGATTGTTCACATGCTTTTTGTTCATGCCCCAAAGTAACTTTGACACAGGTCTAATGTCTTCCATTTAAGTATGTTTAGTTCCTTTTATCTTTGTGGAATTGTTCAAAGTCAAAGATCCTTTCTCAGTCTATCAGAGGAACCAAAGCTCAGTAGTAGAGTACATGCATTGCAGCCAGAATATCCCAGGTTTAGTGGTTGGATTTCCATTGAAAGTGTTTTGGCTAACTGTCCTGGAATAGACTTCTGCTTGTGATCCTGGATTGCCTACTAGGCTAGATAAGATGAACTAATGTTATGACTCTAATCTCAAATAAAGCTGTTTCAGAGATGTTCCAGAAGGCCAGTGTTCTCACATACATTGCAAAGTCCCTGAAATCTCTAACAACCTCCTTACCCGGAATGGGAGGTAGTGGAGCCACAAATCAAACCAGTAGCTCTTTTGTGTTTTTATTTATTTCTGTGTTTTGTGTTTGAAGAGCCAGAGATTCTGAATGTGTGAGCAATGGGTTTTTCTTCTGTCTTCTGAAACATACTAAGGGATTGCTGTGTTGGGTGTGCGGCAAAATACAACTAAATATAACATTTACAAAAGAGCAATATGTTTATTGGCCTGCCAAAATGCACAAAATACATCATGCAACCTGGGACGGTGCAAACACAACGATGGACAGGGTATAGGGATTTTATCTTTGAAGATCCCCACCGCTATCACTAATTGGGAGGAGGTCAATTATTATTTGTAAATTAAGGTAACTGTCACCAACGTGAGGTATTTGAGGTACCACCGATGAGATCTGGCTCTACAGATGCAGATTAGTTGAGATGAGACGGTTTTCAACAAAAGATAACAAGTTTATTGTGTACAAAGCTTATGGTTGCAGGCTGTTAAATAACTTATGGAACTTTGAATATCACATGGTTTATAATACAGTCCACTCTTCCAGATAACTTTCACTGAGGTGAAGCTCTCTAGTGAACAATGTTTCACTACTATAAATAGCCTTTCAATTTGATCTCCCCCCGATCAAATCTCTGATCTCTAGTCCTTCCTTAACTAGGGATCTTAACTAGGCTTCCTTTAGTCTTCTTTGACTAAAGAATCTGGCCAGGTTTCTTTCTTCAGCCCTCCTAGACTGAAAAAACACAAGCCGCTCACACAAGCCTCTCTCTCAGGCCTTTCCAAGCCTCTCTCTTGCTTTTTTAAAACGCACATAACTTTTCCTGCTTGGCTCCGCCCACTTCTCCCTCTCATGAGCTAGCCAGCCTCGTCTCCTTGGCAACGCTCACTGTGGATTCAAACCAGATGACTCCCGTTTTAGCTACTGTTACAAACACAAATACATACTCTAACAGTTAAACACAAACATAATAACAATGACTTCTGCACACAACCTTTCAAAACTTCACTGGCTTCTTCATCAAGTAAAGCTGTTACAAATCATAGAAGAAAAAAAGCTGTGGTTACACAGGTGTGCATTTTTTATAATAATCTTTATTAAATATTTAATTTACAATTAAAATATTTAAAAAACAATAGCTATATATATATATATAGAGAGAGAGAGAGAGAGAGAGGAGAGAAGGGGAGAATAGAAAGGAGAAAGAAAGAAGATTAAAAACAAACAAACAAACAGACACAAGAGTTGTTTGACTTCCTGGTATCTTCTAGAGGTCAAATTTCTATTATTTCTTTCTTCTTCCTCCCCTCCGACTTCTTGTTCTTGTTTTCTTCTTCCCCTCTCAACTTGGCTTCTTATTTTTTGTTTTATATTTGTCTAATTATTCTTTGCTAAATCAAAATCTTTTTATTTCTTTGTTTGAAGTATTCAGTGACTTTTTCCAATTTGTTTCTTTCATGTTTATTCCTTTATTCCTTGACATAAGAAAGCTAAGCCTATCTGTGCTGGTAAATGTTTTCTTGCAGTCCAAGGTTTCAGGGACTCTGCAGAAAGGTGGCTTCCTTTGGTTGCAGTCGTAGGGCAAGTCACCTGTCCATCATCGTTAAGTTTTGGTTCCGCCCCTTGTTCAGGGTAATTGGGAAGGGAAGGGAGCCATTTTTAGTTAGTCTCAGTAAGGAAAGCTAATTTAGAGGATGTGTACAAGCTTCTCCTGTACAAAAGCTTCAACCCTTAAGACTTTCCAGGGGAGAACAGTCTTAAGAGCGTCCAAAGATTTCCAGGGAAGCAGCCCTAAAGCTTTGAGGAATTTCGGAGGGTAAACAGTTTGGAAGAACAAAGAACTCCACCTGGAGAATCTACTGGCTTTACTGGTAGGTCCACTCAGTGCTCGAGACGCAGTTTGACCCGGTAGCGGAGCCCACATCAGTAAGGCTTAGATTACAGTCAGCCTGGGAAAAGTTAAAAAGAAGATTTTCCTTTAAAGTGAAGAAACAGTTATTAAAGACAATTGCCTGTCCCTTGTGGATAAGATTAAGGAAGCGACCAGTTGCACAAAAGCCTGGAAGCATTTGTTTAACTTTATTGAAGACAAGAGAAGTTTCTGTTTGATTGTTCATTAATAAAGGACTTTGTTATACTTCACAAGCCATCTAAAGACCATTTGTGGTGGAAAATCCTTGAGAACTTCTCTTCGGGGGCCCCCTGGCTTCCCGCTGGGCTCAAGTTACACGTCCTATTTTAAAGGCAATTTTTTACAGGCCCAGCGCGTGACAGAACACTATCCATATTTTTGATCTCCAATATTTTCGTTAACTGTTCATCTTTGTCTGGTGTTTCTTTTCGTTTCCAACTTCTTGCTTAGCAAATCCTTGCTGCCGCGCATTTTGTCTTCAATATTATTTCTGTTGTCAGTTAAGATGGTCTAGACTGGCAGTGTTTCCCAAACTTTGGTCTTCCATATGATTCAGACTTCATCTCCCAGAATTCTTAACTATTGGCCAAATTGGCTGTGGCTTTTAGGAGCTAGAGGGCCAAAATATGGGAATTATAGTACATTTGACTCTGGCTTTGCAGCCCATAAAGGAATAGGACTATTATAGAAATACATTGTTGGGAATGACGAGACCAAGAAATGCATTCTTCTTGCATCCTTTTCTGTCTCTCCTTTAGGGCAACTCAGATCAAGACTTACTCCTGGGACAATGCTCAAGTGATCCTAGTTGGAAACAAGTGTGACCTGGAGGATGACCGAGTTGTACCCACTGAAGATGGGAAGAGGCTGGCTGATGAGCTAGGTTCGTCCTGTTTCCACCTATTGATACATGTTTCCAATAGAGCTCATCCCTCAACAATACACACTTTGCAAAACAACGATCTCCCCATACCTTCCCTTTTCTCTTTTTATTTTCTCAATTTTCTCCCTCCAGGTTTTGAGTTCTTTGAAGCCAGTGCTAAGGACAACATCAATGTCAAGCAGGTCTTTGAGCGCTTGGTGGATATCATCTGCGAAAAGATGAACGAGAGCCTGGATCCTAGCCCCGGCACAACCAGCAACAACCAAAAGAATACGGCACTGAATGAGACCCCAGCAGCACAGTCCAACAGTTGTTCTTGCTAGATGGGACATTGCCCACCTCCTTGGACCCTGCAGCTCACTCCCCGTTGTCCCACCTAAATAGGGAGGAAAGCTCAGCAGTTGCCCATCTCTTCATCCAAATGCTAGTTGGCTGATTTGCCCAGTATGCCTCTGGCTATACCTGTTTGGCCCCTGAAAGCATGTGCCAGTTGCCTGGTGCCCCCTTTCTTCCCCACGTAGCATGATAGACCTTTTCTAGCCGATGAGCATGATTTCTTTGACACACTTGCACTCACACTCTGTGCTTTTGCAGTCCGGGTGATTTAAAGCCAGCTCTGGGCCATCAAATGCCTTTCTCTCAACCTTGCAGGGCTCCTGCAACTATGTGCAGTGCCAACTGTTTGGCTTTTTTACTGGATAGCCCAGTGACTGGAAAGCTGGTACTTGGTTTTGCCAGCTATTGCCTTCTGTGAGTTTCTCCCCTGTTTAAAGATAATAAATCCCAGTGGCAGTTTGATGATGAGTATTCTCATTTTCTACCTCTTTGAGAACCGGGTGGTTGTGAGGAAAATGCAACTGGAACAGACAGAGAGGCCTAGTCTCTTTAGAGTGGGATATAATGGGATAGATGCTGCTCTCTCAGAAAACACTGTCTTCATCTTTCATGGCTGTATTTATAAGGGGTTAGGCTGGCAAACAAGATAGCAAGGCACTGTATTGTCGAAGGCTTTCATGGCTAGAATCACTGGGTTGTTGTAGGTTTTTCCGGGCTATATGGCCATGTTCTAGAGGCCTCTAGAACATGGCCATATAGCCCGGAAAAACCTACAACAACCTAGCAAGGTACTGTTTCCTCTCCATGGCATGATGTGAGAGGTTACTCCTTAACAACCTGACCCATCTGATTTCCTTTTCCAGACATTACCACTATGACTTGAGATCTCAACCAGTAATATAATGAAGCCAGAGTTGGCTCAAGGACATGTTTATTATCAGTGACAACAGCATCATCTTCATCTCCCTTCAGACTTTCTGATTCCCTCTTAGTTTAGTTGCAATCCTCAAAGTAGTTGGGAATGATGGATTTTTCCCATAACAATATATTGCTGTGAGCCATCCCCATCATAATATGAAGTGCATTTGGATGACTTAGTCTTGAGTAGGCAGTGAACACCCAGGAACTATACAAAAGATTTGCTCTTGAAATTAGTTTGTTCTTAGTTGTTTTTTGACTCGTTTGGAGGGTCATGGGCTATAGGGAATCTCTTGATGAGAGGTGGGCTTTCAAAATTCACCATTACACTACTCACTCCAGCCTATAGCAACTGTGTTGACACGATGCATGTAAAGTTGATTGATGTATGTAAAGTTGATTGATAATTTCAGAGCAGCATGATTGTAGGTTTTGGTCTTGTCTTCAATTGGCCACCCAAGGATTATGAAGGTTTAGGCCAGGGGTCCTCAAACTATGGCCTGGGGGCCGGATGTGGCCCTCCAAGGTCATTTACCCGGCCCTCGCTTAGGGTCAACCTAAGTCTGAAATGACTTGGAAGCACACAACAACAACAACAATCCTATCTCATCAGCCAAAAGCTGTCCCACACTTCACATTGAAATACTCATAAGTTTGTATTTGTTAAAATTGTTCTACATTTTAATTATTGTGTTTTTTTGCACTACAAATAAGATATGTGCAGTGTGCATAGAAATTCATTCATGTTTTCTTTTCAAATTATAATCCGGCTCTCCAACAGTTGAGGGACTGTGACCTGGCCCTCTGTTTACAAAGTTTGAGGACCCCCTGGTTTAGGCAATAAGTCATGTGATCTTGAAACACATGACTTCTCTTGGGACCTCTTCTCTAAATGTCTTAATGGAAGTGTTACGTCTATTTTGTTGCTCATTCACAAAACATTTGTCCCTAAAATTTGTCGTGGAGGCTTAATATAATAAACTTGTTTTCTGTTATCGTTCATTAGGCAAAGACTTCATTGTCAACATCAACATTTCATAGAATCATAGAGTTGCAAGAGACCTCATGGGCCATCCAGTCCAACCCCACGCCAAGAAGCAGGAAAATTGCATTCAAAGCACCCCTGATAGATCATCATCGTCATCATCATATTTAATAACTTATTAATCGCCCTCCATCCGAGAATGCTCTAGGCGATTTACAGCTAAATTGTAAAAGATATAATACATACATACAGAAATTAAAAATTAACAGAGATCGAATGCTCTAGTAAAAAGCCAGGACTTAAGTGCTAGAGTAAAAGGCCCTAAGTCACGCATGGCTCTCATATAGGGCGGCAAGGAATTCCATAAGGCAGGGGCAGAAAAAGAAAAAGCCCTGCGTCTGGTACTTTCGAAGTGCACTTCTCTAGGACCATCTAGCCTCTGTTTAAAAGCTTCCAAAGGAGGAGCCTCCTCCACACTCCAGGGCAGAGAGTTCCACTGCTGAACGGCTCTCACAGTCAGGAAGTTCTTCCTAATGTTCAGATGGAATCTCCTTTCTTGTAGTTTGAAGCCATTGTTGTGCATCCTAGTCTCCAAGGAAGCAGAAAACAAGCTTGCTCCCTCCTCCCTATGACTTCCCTCACATATTTATACATGGCTATCATGTCTCCTCTCAGCCTTCTCTTCTTCAGGCTAACATGCCCAGCTCTTTAAGCCGCTCCTCATAGGGCTTGTTCACCAGACCCTTGATCATTTTAGTCACCCTCCTCTGGACACATTCCAGCTTGTCAATATCTCTCTTCCATTGTGGTGCCCAGAATTGGACACAATATTCCAGGTGTGGTCTGACCAAGGCAAAATAGAAGGGTAGCATGACTTCCCTGGATCTAGACATTAGACTCCTATTGATGCAGGCCAAAATCCCATTGGCTTTTTTTGCTACCGCATCACACTGTTGGCTCATGCTTTGACTTGATGTCAACGAGGACTCCAAGATCATTTTCACCCATACTGCTCTCGAGCCAGGCATTGTCCCCCATTCTGTATCTTTGCATTTCATTTTTTTCTGCCTAAGTGGAGTATCTTGCATTTGTCCCTGTTGAACTTCATTTTGTTAGTTTTGGCCATCTCTCTAATCTGTCAAGATCGTTTTAGATTCTGCTCCTGTCCTCTGGAGTATTGGCTATTCCTCCCAATTTCGATGAATAGACAGAATTCATGAAAGCAGAGCCCGTACATATTTTACTCACAGGCCTTCAGTTCTAAAGAATCAAGAAGTAATTGTATTAAATCTGTCCTCACCCCAGATGCTTCTCTTATGACAAGAAGGTATAGAATGTTATCAGAAAAGTGTTGGAGCACCCAAAGCTCCTTGATGTGAGTCTTGTCACAAAATCTATATGAGGTGACTGGAAAAGAGATCTGAGGAAATCACTTTGCCAAAACAGGACGGCTCAAGCTGCTGTAAGTCCAGTAAACATGAGGTCAGCTACAAACACATATAAGTGTTCTGTATTCCTTACTTACTTCTTGGGAGGAGAGCAATGTCCAGTCTCGATAAAATAGTAAAGAGTAGAGACATCAGACTGGCAACAAAGATCCGCAGAGTCAAAGCCATGGTATTCCCTGTAGTCACCTACGGATGTGAGAGCTGGACCTTAGGGAAGGCTGGGCGAAGGAAGATCGATGCTTTTGAGCTGTGGTGTTGGAAGAAAGTCCTGAGAGTGCCTTGGACTGCAAGAAGATCCAACCAGTCCATCCTCCAGGAAATAAAGCCCGAATGCTCATTGGAAGGAAGGATACTAGAGACAAAGTTGAAGTACTTTGGCCACATCATGAGGAGACAGCAAAGCCTAGAGAAGACAATTATGCTGGGGAAAGTGGAAGGCAAAAGTAAGAGGGGCCGACCAAGGGCAAGATGGATGGATGGCCTCCTTGAAGTGACAGGACTGACCTTGAAGGAGCTGGGGGTGGTGAGGGAGGGCCAACAGGGAGCTCTGGCGTGGGCTGGTCTATGAGGTCACGAAGAGTCGGAGGCGACTGAACGAATGAACAACAACAACAATTCCTTACTTGATTTAAAGGAAATCTTTCTCAAGGAAAGTAAACCAATTTATTTCACGTGCAGTCGATCCTCTATATCCACAGGTTTTGCATCCATTGGTTCAACCAACTATGGGTCAAAAATAGTCAAGAATAAAGAATCCCCAAAAGCAAACCTTGATTTTGACATGCGCTGAGCACTACAACAATGTGTAGGCATACCCTGCTGTATCGTTGCACCATTTCAGATATCATCTGGCTCTCTCTGGCAGTAGTTTGAGTTGATCACCATTTTATATGAGGGATGTTCTTTTACTACACGATTGTATATAATGGGACTTGAGCATCTGTGGATTTTGGTATGTGGTCCTAGAGCCAAACCTTAGCTGATACCATGAGCCCACTGTATTGATTTTGTATTTAACTTCAACTTTGCTGAATGTATGTAAATGCATTTTGGGCAGTTTGGGATCATTCTGAAAGTCTGTCCTACAGGATTGTAAGAAGTTGTAGAAGTCATTTGTGGAGCGGAAAGATTCTAAAATAAAGAACATTTTCAAATAATGGTGCATTGACTGGAAAGAATAAAAAAATGAGGTATCTGAAGAGTTTATAATATAGCAGAGGTTGCTAGCATATTAGGGGTTTTAAAGGAGCAACCAATATGTCTAATGTATTGTCGAAGGCTTTCATGGCCGGAATCACTGGGTTGTTGTAGGTTTTTCCGGGCTATATGGCCATGTTCTGGAGGTAATTTTTCTCCTTGTTGTAGGTTTTTCCGGGCTATATGGCCATGTTCCGGAGGCAATTTTTCTCCTTGTTGTAGGTTTTTCTGGCCTATATGGCCATGTTCTGGAGGCAATTTTTCTCTAGGAGAAAAATTGCCTCCAGAACATGGCCATATAGCCCGGAAAAACCTACAACAACCCAACCAATATGTCTGCTTCCCAATACCTTGCGAGAAACAGAATTAAGAGGTGGAGGGTTCTCAGCATTCAATACAATTATCTATTATGAAGCAATGCCCATGTTGGACAAGATTCATTTGTATTGTTCACTCCTAAGGAAATTTGATTTCCAGTGCATTGTAGTTAGATGTCATCTATATAAATAAAAATGTAATGTTAGTTTGTGGGATTAACGTAACTCAAAAACCACTGGATGAATTGACACCACATTTGGACAGCATACACCTAACAACCCAATGCATGTCCTTCACTCATTTTTTTTATTTTGTCATTTGGGAGTTGTAGTTGCTGGGATTTATAGTTCACCTACAATCAAATAGCATTCTGAATTCCACCAATTATGGCAATGAACCAAACGTGGCATACAGGACTCCCATGACCAACAGAAAACACTAGAAGGGTTTGGTGGGCATTGACCTTGAGTTTGGGAGTTGTAATTCACCTACATCCAGAGAGCACTGTGGACTCAAACAATGATGGATCTGGACCAAACTTGCCACGAATATTCCATATGCCCAAATATGAACACAGACGGAGTTTGGGGGAAATAGACCTTGACATTTGGGAGTTGTAGTTACTGGGATTTATAGTTCGCCTAGAATCAAAGAGTATTCTGAACCCCACAAATGACAGAATTGGGGCAAATTTCCCACATAGAACCCCCATGACCAACAGAAAATACTTAAGGCCATCCAGTCCAACTCTCTTCACCAGGGCAAGAAAATGTAATCAAAGCCCTCCTGACAAAGAGCCATCAAGTCATAAATATAGATGGATAGATATGATTCACACACATACACAGATAAACCTGGGGGTCACTCTGGATCGTGCTCTTACCTACAAGAAGCACTGCCTGAACATCAAGCAAAAAGTGGGTGCTAGAAACAATATCATACGAAAGCTGACTGGCACAGCCTGGGGATCACAACCAGGCACAGTGAAGACATCTGCCCTTGCGCTATGCTACTCTGCTGCTGAGTGCGCATGCCCAGTGTGGAACACATCTCACCACCCCAAAACAGTAGATGTGGCTCTTAATGAGACATGCCGCATTATCATGGGGTGTCTGCGCCCTACACCAATAGAGAAATTACACTGCTTAGCTGGTATTGCACCACCACCTGCCCTGAAGACTACGACGCAATGGAGAAATGGCTTCAAACTACAAGAAAGGAGATTCCACCTGAACATGAGGAAGAACTTCCTGACTGCAAGAGCCGTTCAGCAGTGGAACTCTCTGCCCTGGAGTGTGGTAGAGGGTCCTTCTTTGGAAGCTTTTAAACAGAGGCTGGATGGCCATCTGTCGGGGTGCTTTGAATGCAATTTTCCTGCTTCTTGGCAGGGAGTTGGACTGGATGGCCCATGAGGTCTCTTCCAACTCTATGATTCTATGACTCTATGCCAAAAAGAACGGAAAGAGATCTTATAAAATGCCTTGAAGTTTCCATTATGAATGGCAGGGATGGGCAAATTTTGAGAGTCTAGGGGCCAATATTTTATCCACTGTGGCCTACTATGAGCTTGCTGCTAAAATGTTCACAATTTGCAAACCAACCAATCAAGGAAGTCCAATTCTTTTTTTTTTTTTCAGATTGGTAGTTCAAAGGAGCAAATGAGTCCTGTATCTTGYTTATTACAAAACTAGCCATCCCCTGCCACACCTTGCTGTGGCCCTGTGTGTATATGTGTTTTGTGTGTGTATATATGTGTGGTTTTGCGCATATATTGGMATGTAGTTTTATTTTTTGTCTTTTAAAGTCCCTTCCGCTGTGTTTTCCAGTGTTTKTATGAGTGATGGTCACTTGTTGGCTTGATAGGTGTATCGTGTCCAAGTTTGGTGTCAATTTGCCCAGTGGTTTTTGAGTTATGTTAATCCCACAAACAAACATTACATTTTTATTTATATAAATCACTTCCCCAGGAGGCTTCCCTGAATAGACAAAGTGCTTTTGTATGTTTTCAAAAAAAGRGGGGAAAAGTCTGTGCTCTTTTTTCCCCTTTTTTATGCCCTGCCCCATCCTAAACAAACGAGCAAAATAGTCTCTGGGAACCTCAGTAGTCACACGCAGCCCATTGGGTCACCCTTTCTTTATCCTGCAAGTCGCTTCTGGGTGATTTGAATGCAATATTCCTGCTTCTTGGCAGGGGGTTGGACTGGATGGCCCATGAGGTCTCTTCCAACTCTTTGATTCTATGATTCTATGATCCCTAAAATCTGACAAATTGCAGGTGAAGCTCAGAACAAAAGGAAACTGGCATTTCAGGCATCCTTAAAGGCAGGTATGTCTGCACATGTGCTATACTATATAAGAGTAAGATTCATGTCTTGATGATTGTGAAAAAGAATCAACATCAATGTTTCTCACATAACTCTGTTGATATGGTAAGGCTTGATTTCCCCTGTGAATAAGGATGCTTGTCAGATCTCTTTCATGGCAAGCATGAAGCCTGACATAGTCAGAGCCAAAGCTGTGCAGATGGTGAAGGTTTCTCATCAGCTGGAAGTACCAATCTTGCAATACAGGAACATGGAGACAACCATGGCAGCCAGCTACGGGACAGGAGAGCAAAAAATATGTTATTTTAAACAAGACAAACCTAAACAAAGTGAAGTGATTGCATTCTACTCTGTTTTAAATGTCATTAACATCCAGCAACCTGCTTCTACAGACTGATAAATAGGTTGTATTGCAGAATTGTCAAAGGAGACTTTGAGCAAAGTCCTCTGGCAATTAAGGTTATCCTTTCACGAATCTGCACACCTGAATTCTTGGAAGTATCTGCTATCTATATAAATAAAAATGTAATGTTCGTTTGTGATACCATCAGAACTCAAAAAACACTGGGGGAATTGGCACCAAATTTGGACACAATACACCTAACAACCCAATTTATGTCCTTCACTCAAAAAAATTGATTTTGTCATTTGGGAGTTGTAGTTGCTGGGGTTTACAGTTCAAGAGCATTCTGAACCCCACCAACGATGGAATTGAACCAAACTTGGCACACAGTTCCCCCATGACCAACTGAAAATACTGGAAGGGTTTGATGGGCAGTGTCCTTTGATTTTGGAGCTGTAGTTCACCTACATCCATAGATCACTGTGGACTCAAACAAAGACGGATCTGGACCAAACTCTACACAAATACTCAATATGCCCAAATGTGAACACTGGTGGAGTTTGGGGAAATGGTAATGATGGGTAGCTGCAATAAATTAGGATAATCCCTATCTCTGTTACTTATTTGTTATCCCGAGCTCTGAGGATGACCTGGGAAGGAATCCCACTGGAGCACTGCAGCGCACCTAAATACCTGGAAGTCACTCTAGACCGTGCTCTGACCTACAAGAAGCACGGCTTGAATATCAAGCAAAAAGTGGGCGCTAGAAACAATATCATACGAAAGCTTACTGGCACAACCTGGGGATCACAACCAGACACAGTGAAGACATCTGCCCTTGTGCTATGCTACTCTGCTGCAGAGTATGCATGCCCAGTGTGGAAGACATCTCATCACGCTAAAACAGTGGATGTGGCTCTTAATGAGACATGCCGCATTATCACAGGGTGTCTATGCCCTACACCATTGGAGAAATTACACTGTCTAACCGGTATTGCACTACCTGTCATCCACCGGGGAGTAGCAGCCAATAGTGAAAGGACCAAGGTAGTGGCATCTCCAACTCATCCCCGTTTGGGTATGAGCCAGCACGTCAATGACTTAAATCAAGAAATAGTTTTCTAAGATCTACAGAGACACTCACTGGAACACCTCAGCAAGCGAGAGCCCAAAAGTGGCAGCTCAAACCCAGAACCTCAACCAATGGCTGATACCAGATGAGAGACTCCCCCCTGGGCACACAGAGGACTGGGCAACTTGGAAGGCGCTGAACAGACTGCGCTCTGGCACCACGAGATGCGGAGCCAACCTTAAGAAATGGGGCCACAAAGTGGAATCCACGACATGCAAGTGTGGAGAAGAGCAAACCACTGACCACCTGGTGCAATGCAACCTGAGCCCTGCTCCATGCACAATGGAGGACCTTCTTATAGTAACACCAGAGGCGCTCCAAGTGGCTAGCTACTGGCCAAAGGACATTTAATCAACTACCAAGCTTGCAAACTTTGTGTTTTGTTTGTTTGTTTGTTTGTTAAAAAATGCAATACAACTGTTTGGTTTGCTCCTGACATGACAAATAAATATATTTCTTTGTTGCATTTGTATGCTGCCTTTCTCCCAAGGTGGCTTCCAAAACATAAAATACATAAACATAAAACATCAATGCCAGATCGGGAAGCTTACCTCTAGGGCCCCAATTCCTAGAACCACTCCTCCAACAACCTTCCCATTCTTACTCAGGAAAACCTGGAATTCATGCGAACAGCCCTAGAAAGAAGCACAGAAATACAGTGAAGATGTTTCAGAATAGATCTCCTCTTCCTACCATGTAGTAACCACAAGCATCTTGACATTTAGTTGAAGCTATTGGCAAATGAGCCTTAAATATCCAACTGATGCGACTTTAAGGATTTTTTAAAATGTAAGATACATTCTGAAGGGGCCCTGAGAAGAAAACATCAAGTGCATGAAATAGTATTGTCTTATTTTTTCTTTCTAGAAACCATATTTCATATCTATCTTCTCAATAAGATCACTCAATTTTAAAACCATGGAATATAAAGTTTTAATTGGAGGTATATGTTGGCTCTACAACAGGTTTTTTCCCCCAGTTGATTAACATATGGTGACTTTTTTGGCTCAAACACAGCACACCTACGAAGGCCCCTTCTAGCAGCGGTTGTGGAAAGGAATAAAAGTTTGTCTGTATTACTCTCATTTTTTTTTTGGTCTATAATTCCCAATAAAAATATTTTGGGTTTAAGTAGTATATTAATCTTGAGTTTTTTTATAGTCTTTCCTTTATTTCTTTCCAGAAGTTTTTTGCTTTTTTGCACTGCCACCACATTTAGCCCCCGGTGGCGCAGTGGGTTAAACCCCTGTGCCGGCAGGACTGAAGACCGACAGGTTGCAGGTTCGAATCCAGGGAGAGGCGGATGAGCTCCCTCTATCAGCTCCAGCTCCTCATGCGGGGACATGAGAGAAGCCTCCCACAAGGATGATAAAAACATCAAATCATCCGGGTGTCCCCTGGGCAACGTCCTTGCAGACGGCCAATTCTCTCACACCAGAAGCGACTTGCAGTTTCTCAAGTCACTCCTGACACAACTGCCACCACATATGATAGAAGGTTCCTTCCACTTCTCCACATTTCCAGCACTTTGAGTTTATGTTCTTATAATACCTCCCTAATTTATGTGGTGTCATATGCCATCTGTGAAACATTTTTTCCAGTTTTCTTTTAGGTCATAGGGACACGAGTATTTCAATTTCTTGAACCTGTGACCTGTGGGTCTTCAGTCCTGCCAGCACAAAGATTTAACCCACTGTGCCACCGGAGGCTCTGAATGTTTCTGAATGAGTCAATGCTTATTTGACCTATATTTCCCAGCTAGCCATTTTCTTTCTACCAAAAGATATATGAGCTTTGGTTTTCTTTTACTCCTTGTTTAGGTAATCCACATTATGAATTTTTGCAGTTATCATGGCTTTGTGATTCCACTCAAAATTAGATTACCTGTTTGCTTTCATCTATTTCAGATTCTTGGCAGTCTTTTTTATCTGGGCAGCAAGGAGACGGGTATTTGTTGTAAGTTTGATAGAAGTAGGAATCGCTGAAATCAGTGTAATTGTTGAATCCACAGCACTTCATCTAGTGGAGAAAACAGTCGCTCAGTTTTATAAAAACAAATAACAGTTGGGTTGCTGTAGGTTTTTTCGGGCTATATGGCCATGTTCTAGAGGCATTCTCTCCTGACGTTTCGCCTAACATCTATGGCAAGCATCCTCAGAGGTAGTGAGGATGCTTGCCATAGATTGTGGCGCAGCTGGCTGAGTGTCAGCTGCATTAAGATCACTCTGACCAAAAAAGGTCATGAGTTCGAAGCCAGCCTGGGTTGGAGTGGGTTTCCAACCAATTGTGTGTAGCATGTTGTCGAGAGCTAGACTGGGAAACCTGGCCCATCTATAAGGACTTACTAAGGAAAGAGAGAGGAAAATATGAATTAAAAGAAGAAAAAGAGATTAAAGAAACCTTTACTACCCTATCATGGCTGAATTACAGACAAATCTTAGACTGCTATAAAACTGATAAAGAATTAAATTTTGGATCTAAAGAGGGATTTTGGGATACTATTATGAGGACAAATAATAAAACAATCACAAAAACTTACAAAAAACTGCTAGAATGGGCAACAGAAACAGAACAAATAAAAGAATTAGGGCTGGGCGGTTTCGTTTCGTTAATTCGTAATTCGTTAATAATTCGTTAATTTTTTCAATTACAAAACGATAACGAACCATTCTGGAGCAATTATTAAAAAAAAACGAATTTTCAAAAACGTTTTGCAAATGCTTCGTATTTCGATATTGTATTCGTTTCGTTATTGTTTTGAGGTCGTTTCGTTATTATTTCCGCATGTCTGGGCCAGTTTTATGGTTTAATTAGTGAAAAAAAATTATAATATCACACCAACAGTCAACAACAGAGGGAGAGGGAAGCTTCAGAAGGTTTTGGAGGTTTTTTAGCGTATTTCGCGGTCGCGTCCGCCATTAACGAATCAATTCGTTATTGTTTCGGAAATCGATTCGTTAATTTTTTACAATTTACGAAATTTTGTAAATATTGAACTTTTTAAAAGGAAAATTTTGTAATTATTTTAAATATCGAAACAAAAAATCCCCCCAAATACAAATCGATTTTAGAAACAAATTTTTCCGTTGTTACCCAGGCCTAAAAAGAATCTATGATTAAATGGGCACAAAACATAGGCCATCAAATCCGTATAGATCAATGGGAGAAGATCTGGAACCAGAAAATGAAATGCACCTACTCCTATAATTTAAAAGAAAATCAATTAAAGATTATACATAGGTGGTACATTACACCACAAAAGATCTCAAAATTCCAAAAAAAAATGCTTCTGACAGATGCTGGAAATGTGATCAACATATAGGATCCTTCTACCATATGTGGTGGTCATGCCCAAAAGCCAAAATAATCTGGAATATAATTTATACTAACATACAAAAGATACTTGACATAAAAATGAGAAAAGAACCAGAGTTCTTCTTGCTGGAAATGTATGACATTATAGGAGACAAAAATAAAGATATTACCTTCAACTACCTAATCACTGCAGCCAGAATTGTCTATGCCCAGAGTTGGAGGCAGAAAGAAATACCACAAATAGAAGAATGGCAAAGTAAGATACTTGATATAATGAACACGGATGAGCTAACATACTGGCTGACACCAAATGAAGGGAAACCAAAAAAAAAACACATATTGGGATTTGGTGAAAAACTATCTCAAACAACAAAAAATAGAGGTCATTCCTTGATTCACAATAATATAGAATACAAACAACTGTATCACAGGAAAGAACGCTGGACTATTTAAAATGAAAGACATTTTTCGCTTTCATTTTTTCCCTTTTTTTACCATGCTTTTGACTTTTTCCAATACAAATATAGAAGATCTTCAAAGAACAGATGGAAGTCCAATCTATTTTTTCCTTATTTTTATTTTTATTCTCATTTTTTAATATATTTTCCCCCTTTTTCTCTCTCTCCCCACCCATTCCCCCTACACCACCCTACTTGCTTATTATTATTTCCTACTTTCCTATCTCCTTCACAATTATTCCCCCACTTTCCTTGTATTTACACCAAAAGACAATAAAAATGACTAAAAAAAAAAAGAGTCCAGCAAAAGCATTCCAGCGGGGAAGCATGCGGGGAATGCGGAAGTGCTTCATCAGCGTCACAGATGGACGATGAAAGCGACAGCTCCCCTGGCAGCCAGAAAAAGTTAAATAGCCTCTGTGTATGTCTGTATATGTTTGTATGTCAAAAATTGGCATTGAATGTTTGCCATATATGTGTACACTGTAATCCGCCCTGAGTCCCCTGCGGGGTGAGAAGGACAGAATATAAAAGCTGTCAATAAATAAATAAATAAATAAATAGATGCAGGCGAAACATCAGGAGAGAATGCCTCTAGAACATGGCCATATAGCCCCAAAAAACCTACAGCAACCCAACTGTTATTTGAACCCAGTGATTCCGGCCATGAAAGCATTCAACAATACAAATAACAGTTGATCTGGAACAGGCTTAACCCACAGAATGAAATAGTAAGGATACATTCATAGCTGGACTTTTTCTCATGATGCATGCCAAAAAAAAAATATCCTGAGCCACTCCATGACATTACTGCAACTGAATGTTCAGTACCAAGTGATTTATATGCTATTTGAAACTAAGTGGTGAAGCTAATATGGAACAATAGGTGAGCTGGATGTGTGCGGGGTTTTTTTATATATCACGATGTAAGTCACAACAGAAAGAGAAGCATGTTCTATTAGAGGAAAAGACTGTAGCACTTGTCTGGAACTAGTAATGCCCCAGGAATCAACATGAGAAGACTGTTAGCTGAAATGATCTGAACAGGATCTGTAAAACTTCTATTGCAGTTGCAGATTCTCTGTTTGGGATAGATTACAGCAGTCAACACTGAGAGAGAGAGACAGGGCTCTTCCACACAACCCTATATCCCAGAATATCAAGGAAGAAAATCCTACAATATCTGCTTTGAACAGGGTTATTTGAATCCACACTCAGGTAATGTGGGATTTTCTGCCTTGATATTCTGGGATATAGGGTTGTGTGGAAGGGCTCACAGAGGCCTAATAATAATAATAATAATAATAATAATAATAATAATAAATTGAGAGCCAAATTGACATAGAAAAAGCATGGCTGTGGCTCACAAATGGAACTCTGAAAAAGGAGACGGAGGGCCTGATTCTGGCAGCCCAAAAACAAGCCATTCGAACCAATGCCATCAAAGCCAGAATTGAAAAATCGACAACAGATCCCAAATTAAGCAGATGAAACAATAGATCACATCCTCAGCTGCTGCAGGAAGATCGCGCAGACAGACTACAAGCAGAGGCATAACACCGTTGCTCAGAAGATTCATTGGAACTTGTGCCACAGATACCTTCTGCCTGCAACAACTAACTGGTGGGATCACAAGCCGGAAAAAGTTACAGAGAATGAACACGCCAAACTCCTCTGGGACTTCCGAATTCAGACAGACAAAGTTCTGGAGCACAACACTCCTGACCTCACAATTGGGTTAAAAAACAAAGTATGGATCGTCAATGTCGCAATCCCAGGTGACAGCAGGATTGCAGAGAAACAACTGGAAAAGCTGACATGATATGAGGATTTAAAGATCGAACTGCAAAGACTCTGGCACAAGCCAGTCAAGGTGGTCCCAGTGGTGATCGGCACACTGGGTGCAGTGCCTAAAGACCTTGGCCTGCACTTAAACACAATTGGCACTGACAAAATTACCATCTGCCAGCTGCAGAAGGCCACCTTACTGGGATCTGCACACATTATTCGCCAATACATCACACAGTCCTAGAAACTTGGGAAGTGTCCGACGTGTGATCCAATTCAACGGCCAGCAGAATGTCTGCTGTGGACTCATCTTGTTGTGGTTCAAATAATAATAATAATCATAATCATAATCATAATTTTATTTTTATACCCTGCCAGCCATCTCCCCTAGGGGATTAAGGGCGGCTTACAAGGGACAAGCCCGAAAATTACAAATAAAACACAACCGATTAAAAACATTCGATACGATATAAAAACAATCACAATTGTAAACAACATCAAAACAATATGGCTGAGAAAAAGAACATAGCTGAGGTCCACATTATCCACATATCTTCTTTGATCTGGATTTTATGAATCTTCACTGCCATATAATCCAGTTCAAAGTAGGAAATCTGGATTTTATCTGGCAGTGGAGAAGGGGCTAGAGAAAGACAGGGGGGGGGGTGTCCTTCCACACTGCCAAATAATCCAGGTTATCAAAGCAGAAAATCCACACTGTCTGATTTGAACTGGATTATCTTAATCTAGGAGCCCCCGGTAGTGCAATGGGTTAAACCACTGAGCTGCTAAACTTGTTGACCGAAAGGTCGCAGGTTCGAATCCGGGGAGCGGCGTAAGCTTCCGCTATCAGCCCCAGCTTCTGCCAACCTAGCAGTTCGAAAACATGCAAATGTGAATAGATCAATAGGTACCGCTCCAGCGGGAAGGTAACGTCACTCCATGCAGTCATGCTGGCCACATGACCTTGGAGGTGTCTATGGACAAGGCTGGCTCTTCGGCTTAGAAATGGAGATGAGCACCACACCCCAGAGTCGGACACGACTGGATTTAATGTCAGGGGAAAACCTTTATCTGTCTTCTGATTGTAGGTGAAGTTGTATATCAGAAGTTTGCTGATCCACTGCAAATCACTATGAGCTCTACTGTAAATTCCAAATCAATCTTCAGTAGCCTGCACCATGATCAAGAATATATACTTCACACCCACACCCCATTAAATTAGGAAGACTGATACATCAGTCATGTCCAGGAGGTTGAACATGAATAGTAGATCTGTGCACTAGCAGCTCTACTGCTGGGGAAGCAAGAGTTTCTATTTAACAAAACAGTGGGTTTTGCCAATCCATTCACCTCTTCCATTGTTGTGTTCCAGATCTCTGTGAGGTCCGTTTGCCTTCCATACTCCTCTTTCAAAGACTTTATGGCCCATTTCTCCAAGTGTTCCACAAATATATCTGCCTGCATAAAGAAAACAGAAAAGTGGGTGATTCTTTATTTATTTATTTATTTATTTGCGACATTTATATGCCCCCCTTCTCACCCCGAAAGGGGACTCAGAGCGGCTTACAAGATATATATACATACAATATATTATATTATTAATATAGTACAATATCAGTATTATATATTACTATATTGTACTATACCACTATATTGTAATATTAGCTGTCCCCTGCCATGTGTTGCTGTGGCCCAGTCTGGTGATTTGGAAAATAAAGTAATGAGAAAGTGTTGGTTTCTAATATATGTAATGTGTTGATGCTTGTGGGAAAACAGTATTTCTTGTTGTTTCTTTGTCAGTGTTGATGTGGAGATTGTCTAGTTCGCCCACCCTGGAATATAAAACATATGATTGTCCTTCCACCACACTCCTCTGCCCCAGAGTGTGGTGGAGGCTCCTTCTTTGGAAGCTTTTAAACAGAGGCTGGATGGCCATCTGTCAGGGGTGATTTGAATGCAATATTCCTGCTTCTCAGAATCATAGAATCATAGAATCAAAGAGTTGGAAGAGACCTCATGGCCATCCAGTCCAACCCCCTGCCAAGAAGCAGGAATATTGCATTCAAATCACCCCTGACAAATGGCCATCCAGCCACTGCTTAAAAGCTTCCAAAGAAGGAGCCTCCACCACACTCCGGGGCAGAGAGTTCCACTGCTGAACGGCTCTCACAGTCAGGAAGTTCTTCCTAATGTTCAGATGGAATCTCCTCTCTTGTAGTTTGAAGCCATTGTTCCATTGCGTCCTAGTCTCCAAGGAAGCAGTAAACAAGCTTGCTCCCTCCTCCCTGTGGCTTCCTCTCACATATTTATACATGGCTATCATATCTCCTCTCAGCCTTCTCTTCTTCAGGCTAAACATGCCCAGCTCCTTAAGCCGCTCCTCATAGACCCTTGTTCTCCAGACCTTTGATCATTTTAGTCGCCCTCCTCTGGACACATTCCAGCTTGTCAATATCTCTCCTTGAATTGTGGTGCCCAGAATTGGACACAATATTCCAGATGTGGTCTAACAGGGGGTTGGACTGGATGGCCCATGAGGTCTCTTCCAACTCTTTGATTCTATGATTCTATGGTTCTTTAGGGGTTTCTTTCAAATCTATGATACTATACCTGTGTGTATGTGAATCATATATATCTATCTATATCTATGGCTGGATGGCTCTTTGTCAGGAGGGCTTTGATTATGTTTTCTTGCCCTGGTAAAGGGAGTTGGACTGCATGGCCTTAAGTATGGGGGTTCTGTGTGGGAAGTTTGCTCCAATTCTGTCATTGGTGGGGTTCAGAACGCTCTTTGATTGTAGGTGAACTATAAATCCCAGTAACTACAATTCCCAAATGTAAGGTCTATTTTCTCCAAACTCCATCTGTGTTCATATTTGGGCATATGGAATATTCGTGCCAAGTTTGGTCCAGATCCATCATTTTTTGAGTACACAGTGCTCTCTGGATGTAGGTGAACTACAACTCCCAAACTCAAGCTCAATGCCCACCAAACCCTTCTAGTGCTTTCTGTTGTTTATGGAAGTCCTGCATGCCACGTTTGGTTCAGTTCCATCGTTGGTGGAGTTTAGAATGCTCTTTGATTGTAGGTGAACTATAAATCCCAGCAACTACAACTCCCAAATGACAAAATCAAATTTTTGAGTGAAGGACATGGATCTAGAACACAATCAGACAAGGGTCAACTGTTTAACATTGCTAGGAAGGGAGCAAAGGGAGATGTGCATCCATAAATTATTGAAGAATCATCTAAAGACCCTTCTACGCTGCCATATAATCCAGATTATCAAATCAGATCATCCACATTATCTGCTTTCTACTGGATTATGTGAGTCTACACTGCCATTTAATCTGGCTCAAAGCAGATAATCTGGATTTTATATATCAGTGTAGATAGGGCCCTAGATTAGATCAGGCCCACCATATGACTCTCCATTGCACAAGATGCCCTCTTTCAAACTGCATGGGAAAGTTACTTTTTTTGACTACAACTCCCCAAATCCTCCAGTCAACAAAAATGACAGCTGGAGAAATCTACAATTTGCAAGTTCCTAAAATAACTTTGAAACTTTGCTCCCCCTTTCCATAATGTTTATGCAGTGGAAAGGGACTGTTTGTTTACTACCCCTCTGCAATTTTTCAGGTGGGTGCAGATTAAAGACTCATCACACTTACCAACGGGCTGGCAAGTCCTAGGGCACTTGCCAGCCCGTTGAGAGACGGATGGACATGCAGCCCATCACACAACGTCCATCAACTTCCAGTGGAGGCCCTGCCCAAACTGGCATGGAGGTGTCCTAGGATGCTTCCTTGTCAACATGGGAAGACTCCTGCCCAAGTTGGGCAATGTTTCCCCGTGTGATAAGGAAAACATTGTCGCGTCGGAGCTTGCTGGTGAAATAGCACGAGGTTGGGGGGAGTCTATGTGATAAGGTCCTAAGTGGTGTTCCTTCCTTTGGCTAAAAAATCTGGTTGTGTTTCCAGTCATGATTTTCCTTACTGCCACAGTTAGATTGCAGAAGCCACAGACAGGTCCCAGAGGGTAGCCCAGACTTACCACAGAGGAGAAAGCCAACACCACCACAGCGCCTGCCACTTCCGCTATGAAAAGGATCAGTGTGAGAACGAAGAACTGGAAAGAGAAATGGAGAGATAAGCATGTGTGTTTACAAACAGCATTAGTTGGGTTTTGGTGGTAAGAGGGAACTAGGGGGGAGACAGAGGCTGGATCTACACTATCCCAGGATCTGATCTCAAATTATCTGCTTTGAGCTGGATTATATGAGTCTACACTGCCAGATAATCTGGGATAAACCGATAATTATCCCGATGGCCGGAAGGGCTTTTGCACAATTAAGACTCGTGTGCCAGCTGCGACCGTACCTCGTGAAGTCGGATTTGGCCAGGGTAGTCCATGCCTTAGTCACCTCAAGATTGGATTACTGTAATGCACTCTACGTGGGGCTGCCTTTGAAAACAGCCCGGAAATTACAATTGGTACAATGGGCGGCAGCCAGGTTACTAACTGGTGCTTCTTACAGGGAGCGGTCAACCCTCCTGTTTAGGGAGCTCCACTGGCTGCCATTCATTTTCCGGCTCCAATTCAAGGTGCAGGTTTTGACCTACAAAGCCCTGAACGGTTTGGGACCTGCCTACCTGCGTAACCTCATTTCTGTGTATGAACCCACACGATCTCTTTGATCATCTGGAGAGGCCCTGCTCATGCTCCCACCTCCTTCGCAGGCACGATTGGTGAGGAGAAGGGAGAGGGCCTTCTCGGTGGTGGCTCATATAATCCAGTTCAAAGCAAATAATGTGAATTATCTGCTTTGATAATCTGGATTATATGGCAGTGTAGAGGGTGCTTTAGTCTTCCATAGCCAATGATTCAATCATCCATGGCTTGAAAGTACTTTTTTAAAAATTCCAAAGATATTGATATTGCAGTTTTATATAAGGAACACCATTTTACTATGCCACTGTACATAATGAGACTTGAGTATGATTGGATTTTTGGTATCACGAGAATCCTCGAACCCAACCCCATTGGATATCAAGGGTTTACTGTAACTGGACATGATTGAGAGGCACGCCTTTAATTCAGGCACTCCTTGCCTCTGTGTAGTGTCTGGAGCTGAGCCATTTTGTCATTCCTGAGGCTGATCCATATATAAGTGAAATCCTCTTTTTTTGATACCTACCATCAAGAGCAGGCATTTGCTTTCTTTCACTGATCCCCAGCATCCCATAAAACCCATGAGGAAAAGAAAGATGCCAACTGCAATGCAAAGGTAGCCCACGTTGATCAGCTGCATCAGGTGGGGACTTGCTGCTCCCAGGACCTTCACAAAGGATGTGCTATCCACCTTCACCCAGATGCCAATGCCCAGCAAAACTATACCTCCCAGCTAGATGGAGAAGGGAGAAAAATGGAGTCAAAAGGCTTGGAAGCCTTAGGAAGACATAACTCATCAATGATACCTGTAATTGCAGGTGTGGATGAAATAACAGAGCTGTCTAGCTTCCCCACTCCATGGCACAAGACTTACTGTATTTCTTTGATTCTAGGACGAACTCCCCCATCCCAAGGAAACATCTCTAAAAATGGGGTGAGCCTTAGAATTGGGTGCATACACACACGCATATACATACATATATATTTCTGTTCTGCTGAAATTAGTGTGTGTCTTACAACTGATTGATTTATTTATTGTATCAGGAGCAAGCCAAACAGTTGCATTAATTTTTTAAAGCAAACAAACAAACAAAACACAAAGTTTGCAAGCTTGGTAGTTGATTAAATGTCCTTTGACCAGTATCTGGCCACTTGGAGTGCCTCGGGTGCTACTGAAAGAAGGTCCTCCATTGTGCATGTGACAGGGCTCAGGTTGCATTGCAGCAGATGGTCTGTAGTTTGCTCTTCTCCACACTCGCATGTTGTGGATTCCACTTTGTAGCCCCATTTCTGAAGGTTGGCTCTGCATCTTGTGGTGCCAGAGCGCAGTCTGTTCAGTGCCTTCCAAGTCGCCCAGTTTTCTGTGTGCCCAGGGGGGAGTCTCTCATTTGGTATCAGCCATTGATTGAGGTTCTGGGTTTGAGCCTGCCACTTTTGGGCTCTTGCTTGCTGGGGTGTTCCAGCGAGTGTCTCTGTAGATCTTAGAAAACTATTTCTTGATTTAAGTCATTGACGTGCTGGCTGATACCCAAACAGGGGATGAGCTGGAGATGTCACTGCCTTGGTCCTTTCACTATTGGCTGCTACTTCCTGGCGGATGTCAGGTGGTGCAATACCAGCTAAACAGTGTAATTTCTCCAGTGGTGTAGGGCGCAGACACCCCGTGATAATGCGGCATGTCTCATTAAGAGCCACATCTACTGTTTTAGTGTGGTGAGATGTGTTCCATACTGGGCATGCATACTCAGCAGCAGAATAGCAAAGCGCAAGGGCAGATGTCTTCACTGTGTCTGGTTGTGATCCCCAGGTTGTGATCCCCAGGTTACAATTGATGGGTTCTTATAATTGAAGAAGTAACTATCACTTCTTTTGGACTATTGTTATGTGTTGTTTTGTGAGGAAAGGATGTGCCAATGGTTCCTTTTCACTAAATGGCTGTAGAAAACAGAGAGGATGTAACCACCAAACAAAGAATGTAAAGCCCTTAGATTAGATAACTTAGATTGTTTGTAGTTATTGTGTTTTTTATGTTTAGGATGTAGTAGTGCTATTCCAGAAAAAATACTTTGAAACTTTAGTTTGCACATAGATTTTGTTTTAATCCAATTTAATAAAGAAATAAAAGATCCCACACCTTATGTGACTGTGGAGCGGAACAGACAACTCTGCATCTGTATGCTTGTCCACTACGCCCTGCCTCATGTACAGAGGAAGAATTGTTGGAGGCTACAGAAAATGCCATTGCTGTTGCCCGTTTTTGGTCAAAAGATATTTAGCCACCTGTGCTGCTTCTATTTTTATTGGTTTTATACTAATTTATGCAATGCTTTTGATATGAAATAATAATAATAATAATAATAATAATAATAATAATTTTAAAAATGTATTGTCGAAGGCTTTCATGGCCGGAATCACTGGGCTGTAGGTTTTTTCGGGCTATATGGCCATGTTCTAGAGGCATTCTCTCCTGTCGTTTCACCTGCGTCTATGTCAAGCATCCTCACTACCTCTGATGCCACAGATGCAGGCGAAACATCAGGTGAAAATGCCTCTAGAACATGGCCATATAGCCCGAAAAAACCTACAACAACCCAATTTTAAAAATCATAAAAAAGAATTGAAGAAATCTGCTTTCAGCCGCCTCCAACTTCTGGGAAGAAACTGTTGTTGTTGTTGTTGTTGTTGTTGTTGTTGTTGTTGTTGTTGTTGTTGTTTGCCTTCATTTCTGACCTCTAGGTGGCCCTATCACAGGGTTTTCTTGGCAAGATTTGCCTTCTTCTGGGGTAAAAAGAGTGTGACTTGCCTAAGGCTACACAGTGGATTTCCATGGCTGAGCAAGAATTTGAATCTTGGTCTCCAGAGTCCTAGTCCAACATTCAAATCCCTATACCACAGCAGGTCTCAGGGAAAGAAAATATTACAGATATATTGTAATTATTTCTAAATCATCTGCAAGTTGTGAGAGTGATACTAGAGAGTCTCTGATCTTTTAAGAACACCATAGAAAAGGGAATCTCAACAGCCGTTTATTACTTTGGCTACCTGTATATTTGCATTTTATTTTAACAGGACTAGATGTATGTTGTATGTTGTGTCTACACTGTCTGTTTTTGATAAGGCCAGTTGGTTAATCAATAAAACTTGTTGTTGTTACTTTGGTTGTGTGATAAGCAGTACATGCTGAAATTTCCTCTTCTACACAGCCATTAAAAGTACCGCAACCATCTCCAGTTTTCATGCTGGCAATTCCAACCATTTGTTCAGCGGGCACTCCAAGTGATAATAAAAACAACAATTTGATCATCAGAGAAAAATGTGTACAGGCTTTCCTATAAAAGTAAACAAAATTGAATATCTTTTTGGTGAAAAAGTCCACTTAAAACTTGCTGGTGAAAATTTCACTATCCACTTGAAATCTCAATGGTCAGCTTTAGTGGATCCAATTTTGCTGCAAACTAACCTTTCTGAAAGTAAATGTTGACATTTTATTTAAACTAGGAGGAACTCACCAATTTTAAGATCCCCGATACCAAGAATGCATCTACACTATCTAATTCAATTCGACGCCACCTTAATTGCATGGTTCACAGCTATGGAATCATGGGAGTTGTAGCTTGGTGTGACACTAGCACTCTTTGACAGTGAAGGCTAAAGATCTTGTGAAACTACAACCCATGATTTCATAGTACTGAGCCATGGGCATTAAAGTGGCATCAAACTGCATTAATTATGTGGTGTAATGCACCCTAGATCAAGATCCCAATGAGTGCCTATAGAGCAGTGGTTCCCAACCTTTGGTCCTCCAGATGTTTTGAATTTCAGCTCCCAGAAATCCCAGTCCTTACTAGCTGTTAAGAATTGTAGAAGCTGAAGTCCAAAACACCTGGAGGACCAAAGGTTGGGAACCATTGCTATAGAGCAGTGTTTCTCAACCTCCGTAATGCTGTGACCCCTTAATATAGTTCTTCATGTTGTGGTGACCCCCAACCATAACATTATTTTCATTACTACTTCACTACTGTAATTTTGCTACTGTTATGAATTGTAATGTAAATATCTGATATGCAGGATATATTTTCATTCACTGGACAAAATTTGTCACAAATACCCAATATGCCCAAAGTTGAATACTGGTGGGGGATGGGGGGGGGTTGGTTTTATCATTTGGGAGTTGTAATTGTTGGGATTTATAGTTCACCTACATTCAAAGAGCATTCTGAATTGAACCAAACTTGGCACACAGAACTCCCATGAGCAACAGGAAATACTGGAAGGTTTTGGTGGGCATTGACCTTGAGTTTTGAAGTTGTAGTTCACCTACATCCAGAGAACACTCTGGACTCAAAACAATGATGGATCTGGACTAAATTTGGCATGAAAATCAACATGTCCAAATGTGAACTCTGGTAGAGTTTGGGGAAAATAGATTTGACATTTGGGAGTTGTAGCTGCTGGGATTTATCGTTCACCTACAATCAAAGAACATTCTGAACCCCACCAAGGTTAGAATCGGGCCAAACTACCCACAAATAACCCCCATGGCCAACAAAATACTGTTTTCTAATGCTCTTTGGCGACCCCTCTAACACCCCCTCACGACCCATCCAGGGGTCCCGACCACAAGGTTGAGAAACACTGCTATAGAGGAATACACAGGGTCTTGCTTTAGGGTGTATCTACACCACAGAATTAATGCAGTTTGATACCACTTTAATGGCCATGGCTCAGTACTATGAAATCATGGGTTGCAGTTTCACAAAACGTCTTTTTTGCTCATCTGAGCCATCCCTTCATCCTGCTACCATCACGAGTTACCATCATCTATCATGTTGATGCATATGGTCCATAGACCACGTAATTCTTTTTCTAAAAGCTGATCTTTTGTTATACACAGCATTTGAGAAAAAATGTATGACAGCCCAAGAATTTCAGGCTATTTGAGGAATTCTAGGAGTTGTAGATTTTTTGATTATATGATATTACATATACTGAGAAATAAACTATATGCCTGACAATAAACATGATGCCAGCCTAGGGATCAGTTCAGCGTTGACTCCTCACACATAACAGGAGAAAGAGAAGGACTTTCCATTTACAACAGTGTTTCTCAACCTGGGGGTCGGGACCCCTGGAGGGGTCGCAAAGGAATGTCAGAGGGGTCGCCAAAGGGCATCTGAAAACACAATACTTTCTGTTGGTCACGGGGGTTCTGTGTGGGAAGTTTGGCCCAATTCTATTGTTGGTGGGGTTCAGAATGCTCTTTGATTGTAGGTGAACTATAAATCCCAGCAACTTCAACTCCCAAATGTCAAGGTCTGTTTTCCCCAAACTCCACCAGTGTTTGCATTTGGTCATATTGAGTATTCGTGTAGAGTTTGGTCCAGATCCATCATTGTTTGAGTCCACAGTACTCTCTGGATGTAGGTGAACTACAACTCCCAAACTCAAGGTCAATGCCCACCAAACCCTTCCAGTATTTTCTGTTGGTCATGGGAGTTTTGTGTGCCAAGTTTGGTTCAATTCTATTGTTGGTGGAGTACAGAAGACTTTTTGATTGTAGGTGTACTATAAATCCCAGCAACTACAGCTCCCAAATGACCCCCCCCCCCCCCCCAACCCCACCAGTATTCAAATTTGGGCGTATCGGGTATTTGTGCCAAATGTGGTCCAGTGAATGAAAATACATCCTGCATATCAGATATTTACATGACGATTCATAACAGTAGCAAAATTATAGTTATGAAGTAGCAATGAAAATAATTTTATGTTTGGGGGGTCACCACAACATGCGGAACTGTATTAAGGGGTAACGGCATTAGGAAGGTTGAGAAACACTGATTTACAACTTTTAACCTGGAGCTTTAGGGAAAACATACTCACTTGGGATGTTTTCACAAAAAGGACACAACATGTCTTTTTTTTTTTACCCATCTGACCCATTCCTTTATTCCTTTACCATCACGAGTTACCACCATCCATCACGGATACTTACAAATATCACACCATTAAAGACAAACATCATCATTTTCAGGAAAGAGAAGCAACTCATCTTGCTGCACCTGGAGGAAGGATGGGGTGGGGTGTGGGACAGAAATTCTACATTTAGCCATTGACTATAGTACAAAGGTAAAGGTGGAAGATGTCCCTAGTCAGCAGCAAGCACTTATACTGCAAATATCTTCACCTTTCAACAGATATTGCATGGGCATCTTTCAAAACTGCTTTATTATTATTATTATTATTATTATTATTATTATTATTATTATTATCTTTATTTGTACCCCACTAATATCTCCCGAAGGACTCGGTGCCCTCAATAAAACAACAGCATAACAAATACAACAGTAAAACTCATAAAGCAAATCAATAAACATTTAAGCAGTAACAGTAAAACATCAAAAACAATAGATCATGACACATTTAAAACTAGGGCCAGGCCAAATGTAATAAATAAATTAAAAGTGCTGGACATGACAGGTGAAATATAAGGATTTTAGGGTAGGTGCGATGTGCAAACAATCTTAAATCTCTAGTAAAGTGCATTTGGGACATGATGCTAGGAGTTTCCTATTCTGGGAAGGCACACTGGAACAACCAAGTCTTCAAGCTCTTCCTAAAGACTGCCAATGTTGGGGCTTGTCTGATGTCCTTGGGGAGAGAGTTCAAGAGTCGGGGGCTACCACAGAGAAGGCCCTGTCCCTTGTCCCTACCAAACTCGCTTGTGACGCAGGTGGGATCATGAGCAGGGGCTCTCCAGATGAATGGAGGGATCGTGTGGATTCATATACGGAGATGCGGTAATGCAGGTAGGATGGTCCCAAACCGTTTAGGGCTTTGTAGGTGGGCACCTGCACCTTGAATTGGGACTGGAAAATGAACGGCAGCCAATGGAGCTCCTTAAACAGGAGGGTTGACCTCTCTCTGTAAGGAGCACCAGTTAACAACCTGGCCGCTGCCTGTTGAACCAGTTGAAATTTCCAAGCCATTTTCAAGGGCAGCCCCACGTAGAGCACATTACAGTAGTCCAATCTAGAGGTGACCAAGGCATGGACCACCCAGCCAGATCAGCCTTTACGAGGTACGGTCACAGTTGGCGCACGAGTCTCAATTGTGCAAAAGCCCTCCCGGTCACCGCCAACACCTGAGCCTCAAGCGTAAGTGATGAGTTCAAGAGGACACCCAAACTGCGGCCCTGTGACTTCAGGGGGAGTGTAACCCCGTCCAGCACAGGCTGTCACCCTATACCCCGATCCGGTTTACGATCAACCAGGAGGACCTCTGTCTTGTCAGGATTGATCTTCAGCTTGTTCATCCTCATCCAGACAGCCACAGCGGCCAGGCACTCGTCCAGCACCCGAGGGGCTTCCTTGGAGTTAGGTGGAAAGGAGTAGTAGAGTTGTGTGTCATCTGCATAGAGGTGGCACCTAACTCCAAAACTCCGGCTGACCTCTCCCAGCGGTTTCATGTAGATGTTAAAAAGAACGGGAGACAGAATAGAGCCTTGCGGGACCTCACAGGTCAAAGGCCAGGGGTCTGAGCAGGCATCTCCCAGCTTCACCATCTGGGATCGACCCTCCAAGAAGGACCGGAGCCACAACAGAACCGTGCCCCCGAGACCCATCCCAGAGAGTCGTCCCAGAAGGATACCATGATCGATGGTTCTGTTTTCTTGCATACCAGGGATTGAACCGGATGCCATATGGCTCTATGTTTGGGATTAGTGAGGATGGACAGAGAGAAGTTAAAATGCCCATTCTCACTCGCCAGGGATAGAAGGGATAAAAGGGATCAAGGTAGACAAATTAGCTTTTACCTGTGTGTAGTGGAGCCAAGGCCTGAGGATTTCAAGTTTCAAAGCGATGACACTCGCTATCAGAACACAATGTAGTCCCGTCCACTTTGGGGCCAAGGATTCTCTCTTCTGCGTTTTTAACTAGACGCAGTCTCCACTTCTGAATGCGTGTTCATGGGAATCCTGAGGAACTGGGACTTTGGTCAGCAGATACCTGTGAAGAGATGATAGCACACCACCCCAAATCATAGAGTTGGAAGAGACCTCATGGGCCATCCAGTCCAACCCCCTGCCAAGAAGCAGGAAAACTGCATTCAAAGCACCCCGACAGATGGCCATCCAGCCTCTGTTTAAAAGTTTCCAAAGAAGGAGTCCCTACTACACTCCGGGGCAGGGAGTTCCACTGCTGAACAGATAGGTACAAAACTTTAAATCAGGCCTTCCAGACAATAAAATCAATGTATTCATTCAAGTAACCCAGATGGGGGTGGGAGGAAGGTGGGAAGAGGGTGGTAAGAGTGGGTGGTTGGGATGAGGGGTTTAAAGAGCTTAGCTATCAAGATATACAGTAAAGGGAAGCACAACTGGAACCTGTATCCTAGCCATAAAAATTGTAAACAGTTTTATGTTATCTTTTAGATGGCTAAGGTTTATATTGTATTGTTTTGTTATCTGTATGAAGAAATTAATAAAAATCTTTTTTAAAAAAAGAAGCAGGAAAATTGCATTCAAAGCACCCCTGACAGATGGCTGTCCAGCCTCTGTTTAAACGTTTCCAAAGAAGGAGCCCCTACTACACTCCGGAGCAGAGAGTTCCACTGCTGAACAGCTCTCACAGTCAGGAAGTTCTTCCTAATGTTCAAGTGGAATCTCCTTTCTTGTAGTTTGAAGTCATTGTTCCCTTGCATCCTAGTCTCCAGGGCAGCAGAAAACAAGCTTGCTCCCTCCTCCGTATGATTTCCTCTCACGTATTTATACATGGCTATCATGTCTCCTCTCAGCCTTTTCTTCTTCAGGCTAAACATGCCCAGCTCTTTAAGCTGCTCCTCATAGGGCTTGTTTTCCAGATCCCTGATCATTTTAGTCTTTCTCCTCTGGACACATTCCAGCTCATCAATATCTCTCTTCACTTGTGGTGCCCAGAATTGGACACAGTATTCCAGGTGTGGTCTAACCAAGGCAGATTAGAGGGGTGGCATGACTTCCCTAGATCTGGACACTGTGCTCCTCTTGATGCAGGCCAAAATCCCATTGGCTTTTTTGCCACCACATCATATTGTTGGCTTATGCTTAACTTGTTGTCCATGAGGACTCCAAGATCTTTTTCACACATACTGCTCTCGAGCCACGCGTCCCCCATTCTGTATCTTTGCATTTCATTTTTTTCTGCCTACGTGGAGTATCTTGCATTTGTCACTGCTGAACTTCATTTTGTTAGTTTTGGCTCCTATCTCGAATCTGTTAAGATTGCTTTGAATTTTGCTCTTGTCTTCAGGAGTATTGGCAATCCCAATTTGGTGTCGTCTGCAAACTTGGTGATCATGCCTTCTAACTCTTCATCTAAGTCAGGGGTCCTCAAACTAAGGCGCAGGGGATGGATACGGCCCTCCAAGGTCATTTACCCGGCCCTCGCTCAGGGTTAACCTAAGTCTGAATCGACTTGAAAGCACACAACAAAAACAACAATCCTATCTCATCAGCCAAAAGCAGGCCCACATTTCTCAAGTTTATATTTGTTAAAATTGTTCTTCATTTTAATTATTCTATTGTTTTAATTGTTTTTTTGCACTACAAATAGGATATGTGCAGTGTGCATAGAAATTCATTCATTTTTTTAAAAAAATATCATCTGACCCTCCAACAGTTTGAGGGACTGTGACCTGGCTGTCTGTTCAAAAAGTTTGAGGACCCCTGATCTAAGTCATCTAAGTGATTCCCCTTTCCTGCTTTAAGACTTCAGAGGTTTCAGAGGCAGGCATTTATTTCAGCACCTATTGTTATGCAATATAAAAACAAAATTTGGGAAATATTTTAAATGTTCCCTTACCCATTCCACCCCAAGTCCATGCAAATGGTCACTCCTAAGAGGAATGGGAGAGGAAGGGAAAGATCTTCAATACCCCAGCTCAAAGGAGCTAAAGATCTCTCCCCGCTTAGTGCTGCCCAGATTCTAACTAACCGTTTCAACACACTGGGCTTTTTTAAGCATACTATGACACTTCCCAGCCAGTCCAGTGATGGATGGGCATGCTGCCCATCACATGATGTCACTGGATTACATTGGAAGCCCCACCCACAATTGGAGTGAGGGCGTCCTAGGAAGCTTCCCTCCAAATACGAGAGCCTGCCATCGGAGCCAGAACAGTTCAGCACTGCTTCGGCAATGCTTCCCCTGTGTGATGGCGAAGCATCGCTGTGACAAATTGGCATGCAGTTTCACCTCCATGTGATAAAGTTCTTTGTCAAGAGGTAGAGGAATTGGACATTTGAGATGGGCTTCCTGGCAGAAATTGATTCAGGGTTGCTTCATCCTTTCCACTTTCCCACTTGCCACTGTCTGGAATACAATTGAGAATAGATTCTTGGGGTTTTGGAGACCTTTTCAGTAACTTTAGAGATGAATGCTGGGCCTTTATTAAAGGAGATCTTTATGAAGACATCTGCCCTTGCGCTTTGCTACTCTGCTACTGAGTATGCATGCCCATTGAGGAACACATCTCACCACGCTAAAACAGTAGATGTGGCTCTTAATGCCGCATTATGATGGGGTGACTGCGCCCTACACCACTGGAGAAATCACACTGTTTAGCCGGTATTGCTCCACCTGACATCCGCCGGGAAGTAGCAGCCAATAGTGAAAGGACCAAGGCAGTGACATCTCCAGCTCATCCCCTGTTTGGGTATCAGCCAGCACGTCAACGACTTAAATCAAGAAATAGTTTTCTTAGATCTACAGAGACACTCGCTGGAACACCAGCAAGGAGAGTCCAAAAGTGGCAGGCTCAAACCCAGAACCTCAATCAATGGCTGATACCAAATGAGAGACTCCCCTGGGCACACAGAAAACTGGGCGACTTGGAAGGCGCTGAACAGACTGCGCTTTGGCACCACAAGATGCAGAGCCAACCTTAAGAAATGGGGCTACAAAGTGGAATCCACAACATGCAAGTGTGGAGAAGAGCAAACTACAGACCACCTGCTGCAATGCAACCTGAGCCCTGCCACATGCACAATGGAGGACCTTCTTGCAGCAACAC